TCATGTGCACCTCTCTCTGACTTTCCTCTAAAAAGTCAAACTAAAGGCCACATTCATACCATGAAGTAATAGGCTACAAAATGATAAAGACTGACAGTAAGCTAACTGTCCGTCAAAGCATGGTGTGAGCATCAGTCACACTTCAGTAGACTGAGTGTCTGTGGTGACATTATACAGACGTTGGCATTTTTGCACCTCATAAAGGGGTGAAGAGAACAAGAGAAAAGAAAACTCTGGCAGTCCGCTGGATTAGCCCTGAAAATAAGACAGCTGTCTGGAGAGGTGTTTCAACTACGGCATGCTGGCTGGGTCACAGAACTATTAGCAACTGAAAGTGGCCAGCTGCTGCAAAGCTCCATCATATGCAAAAACTGTAGTCTCTACAGAAACTAGTTAGCCACATTGGGTTTGAAGTGTCCACTTAATTTAGTCTGAAAAATAGAACAAATAGACAGACTTGGCAGGTTCAGTTTGTGTCCCACCTCCTAGTAATAAGGTTCCTTTGATCAATTTTATTAGTTGTAAATAAAGGCTTTATACTGTTAATACATCATTTATCAATGCTTTATAACTCATAATATATATAAATATATGTATGTATAACTTGTCTGCAAGAAATGAAAATGTGTATTTCCCAAAATGTCAAACATGCTTTAAGGTGCTGGACATACTGAGCCAGAAAACATTGTTACTACAGTTAATAGAATACTATACCCTTTTACTGCTAGTAAACATAATATGACGTTTTCTGGTGGGCGGGGCTTAGCTGGAGGCAAAACAACTCTCCATAGACATTAGCTAGTGCTAGCTAGCAAGTTCTGTTGGCTTGTTTTAGATAATGGAGGAAGATGATGTGAGTGGTGCGTTCGGAAATACTCATTCCGAGTGCTGGAGCGCACTCTGACACAAACGGGACCGCTCGTAAATTCGGAGCGCTGTCTGAATGTACCACTGGTTATTCAGAGCACCGCACACTGCACTCTGCGCACTCTGTCTGGGGAGACAGAGCAGCAAAGCGCTGAGCGGAGTGATTGTGTCATTAATGTAAGCGCTCGTTAATATTTAGAGAAATATATCGCTCCGTTTCTTCCACCAACAGGGCTCTCATTTTAGTGTAGAGCGCCAGACTGAATTTACGAACACATCATGTCAGGTCACTCACTCTCAGAGTCCATCAGTGTGACTTGAATAAGTAAACACTGACCAACGGGACCAGACTGGCCGACCCGTATGCTCTCACTCAGTGGATGGATGATGTCACAGGAAGCCAATCTTACAAAGCAGGACGACACTTGAACAGTTGATCCAGTTTGTTTTGCTACCAAAGCTAACGTTAACTAATGCACTTAAAAGTTAGTTAGTAAGTCCCCAGTTTCTGATGAGGTGGACATGATAACCCTTAATACACATAACGTTATTCTTCCCTAAAACAGGAAATACTTTTCCCTAACCTGATATGAAGTGTGCGCTGCACATGTGAGCATTTTTGATGATGGCCTCCGTCCAGTCCTTTGGTCTTATCACATTTAACCATAGTTGTCTTTGTTTTTGTTGACAGGCAGTGGCGGCTGGTTTTGAGCCATGACTCCTTCTATTCTGGCTCCCAATAACACAACACGACGACATTTTTAAGCCTACAGCCCTGTGGTGGAAAGGCAGGTTTTGCCTCCAGCTAACAAACTGATGTCACTGTGACGACATAAAAGGGTCTGTGGCTGTATCAGGTCAAAGGGCAGCTGTTTAAAGCCGTCTTGTGCTGCACATTATAATGCAGCCTGTACTAAGTGTCCTTTGACATGAAAATTACATTTAGAGCATGGAGCACTCTGTTGATGTCCCTGACAATATAATAACACTAAAACACTGACACTACCTGCATGTCTAACAATGTACTACTATTACGAGAGTTCAACTCTGAATTATAGTCCAGGTCACAAATTATGACCAGATGACACATAACAAGCCTGTCGTCACTTTCTTCCCACTTTCTCTTCCTTCCTCTTCCTCTGAGCAATGAATGCTAATCAAATCACTGCCCCCCCCCCCCCCCCCCCCCCCCCCCCCCCCCCCCCCAAACCCCCCCCCCCCCCCCCCCCCCCACCCACCTCCTTACCCCCGACACCCACAACAGCCGAGCATGCAAGACGCAAGAAGGAGACAGAAGAGGAAGGGAGACAGCCATTTGCCTTTTTCCATCTCATTACTGCGGCTACATTAGTACAGTACATCGCTCCACTTAACAACTCCTAAATAACAAACATTCGGCTGCCGCAGACATGTCTGCATCTGTGCTCCATAAAGAACACACGGGATCTCTAACAAATGAAGAGCGAGTGACTGCCCAATATTACAAAAAAAAACAAAAAAAAAACAACCCATAGACGAGCCTTCCAGAAAAGATTAGAGGCTGAAAAATGTTCCTGTGTGTGTAATCTAATCTCCGCTACAGACAGCTACTCCTCATGAAGAACTGAATTGACTGGCATGATCAATTAATCGGATCTTCCTTGCTCCCCGGAGTAGGTCATCCAATAAGGTTACAGGATTGGTCTAATGGGAGCTGGGCTTGAGGTTAAACACACCAAACCCCCAGAGATCTGAGGCTATTGACTCACCACGCAGTCTAAATGAATTAATGGATTCTTACACACAGGAACAACAGGGAAATGAGAAAATAAATATTAGAAATCACTGAAGCAGACAACTCCCTGTCTGCTAAAGAGGTAGGTTTATATAACTGTGTCATGGCACTGCTGTGAAGAGTTCTGGAAAGGTTTTTAGCTCATTACTGAATATTTTAGAGAGTTTACTGAGGACGCATCTAAGCTCTAAACTGTGTATCATTGAGTTACTCTGTTAAAGCAAAATTGGTTCACAGTATGATGACGAACATCGACAAAGAAGCATGAAAGAGACTGAGACTGCGACACTGAGCAGAAATCCAAAAATATGCCAAGACCTAAAAGTAAACTTTCTGTTTTTGGTGAATGTATCCACCTTATTCCTGAGGGCACTACTGTAGAAATGATCATTGGCGCAACTTCCTGTGAGATAGAGGAAGTAGCAGTAAGCTAGTTAGTCCCATAGACTGTCTGTGGTTAGTCCCAGTGGCTACTCTTGGTGGCTAACCGCCAACACTGGTTCTTTTCCAAAGTATTTTGCCTTCAGTTTAGCAAATACTGATTTATTTTTTAACAAATATTTAACTAATGTTAACATAGCATTTTCTAAAATGTCTTTGCGGAGCTCTGGTACCTGTTGCACTGTCTGTGTCTGTGACGACTAACAACCAGTCTGAGCTAAATTTTTGTCTTCAGCAACTGTGTGTTGAACACGTGACCCGGACAAAAAGGGATTGTTCCTGTTGCCGTGGTTACCACTGATATGAGAAGAGTTTCACTAGACATAACGGAAAAGTATTAAATCAGAATTATCAGAAGAGAATGACATGTAGACTGACAGGTCCGTCACTCAACGTCAGTACATGATATCCCTGTCATTCCCCGTCTGACTTCATTCTCACCCTACATTAGAAAATTGCTCGTTATGAAATAAACTCAGCAACATCTACAAGATCTATAAAAGCAGACTTGATGGGAGAAACTTTGACCCATGAGACAGGAAACTGGTGACGCAGATGGTGATGTGGAAGCTTGATTGTAGAAACTGTCTAATATTTTTTGGCGCACGCCATTTTTGGTTTTTGTCCGTACGTACATTTTTAGTATGGATCCTACCACTGCTTTATAAATGAGACCCCAGATCTCCGCCAGGTGACCAAGCAGCTGCTAAGCTTATTGCAAATCGAGAAGCCAATTAAGATATGTGTCTTGTGTTATCCCTCTGGAATCATCTCTCCCAGCTCCCTCACAGTCAAGACTGCAGCAAAAATAACAAAAACATTTGACTTACCCATCTCGTATCGTGCATAACTTTAGTCGTTCATAGCATTTCAGGTATGGAATTAATCTGCAGATGCTCAGGTTCAAAATGGGACCTAACTTTTCCATTGACGAAACAGCCAATAAAACAGGTTCGAACCAACAGAGGGTTTAAATCCTACGACTCCCCACCAGTCAGTTAGAACTGAGGAAACCTCTTGGATGAGAGGTGAAACGTCTTCAAGAAACTCCAGTTGCCTCGAATATAGCACTTAGAATTACCAGGACGCGGATGACTGAGAATCTTCACCAAGACGTCATTAAAACAGGTTTTTCAACAATTGTGAATCACCAAAACCACAGGAGATCTTTGAGCATACAGTCATAAATGTACAGACAAAATATTAGGCTGATTGGTCCAGTAGTTTGGGAGATTAATTGCGGAGAGATACACAATCACAATCAGTTCCCTCCAGGCGTACACTTGACAAAGACACTAGCTAAGTTCTGAGTTACCGTCAAAAATTTACTATTAGAAAACATTTTGTGAATATTATGAACTAAGAAAGCTGTATTGTCAGGTTCTTAACATATGAACATCAATCAATTTTAGTTCATCCAGAGATGATGCATTTGTCGGTGGTATTTGAAGTAATATCACAACTAGCTTGGAGCCAATCATGGTAATGTACAGTAACTTACACAAGCGTAATGTGGAAACCTCTCAATCACAACTTTTTTTTTTTTTTTTTTACCAAGTTATTAAACTTTTTTTGTGGAAAAAAACACATCAGTATTCCAAACATAGTATTTTTATGGAAGGAATATTTTAAATCAATTTTTCGGTGTGAATGTACTGCATACTCAGAATAACAATCTAATTATCTGGGGCATGTGTTACCTTAGCAGCTTGCTGGTAAAAAAAACCCAAACATTTTGATTGGCTACAAGACTTCTGGTGCTGATTCCAGCATATCAAGTGTTTTGCTGAGCTTGCAACCAACTTTGCAAAAAAAAACAAAAAAAGCACCACATCACAGCGACTTCAACAACACAAGGACTTATCTCATTCCCCAGACAACAAGATTACTCCTCTAAAATAAAAGCACCAACACCCACCAGAATGTCCAGGCAGGCAGCTTTCAGGAGCGTGATCTGGTCCGCGATGGTCAGCGCTGTGAAGCCAGGCACTCGTTTGGCAAATTCCACGATCTTGATAATGCACTTAGTGGCCAGCTCGCTGAACTTGTCCCACAGGCCCAGGTCCAGCCTCACACGGTGGTCTGCACTCGAGTTCTGCAACACACACACACGCATATGCAAACACACACACAAACAGAGAGCGAGACGTCAGGCGAAGAGGCAGCTACTTTTGTCACTGCACAGACTGCTGCTAATGATCTCCTCAGTGCACCCTCTTCACTCTGCTCTATATGTGTCACACTTACATACAGTAAATAGGCTCCATAAGACCTGAGCTCTCAAAAACACTGGCAGGATTGTTGTTGTGAATACGCTGAGCTGAGCCGGTTGGCCGGGCCCTGAGATAATGAGCGAAACAGTGTCAGTGGGATGCTTTGGCAATGATGGGATGCAGAAACAGAGCTGTGACAGGTAGCACAGAGCGGTTTAAAGCCAGAGGTGCCATTAATACAGCTATACGGTCCAGAACCTACACAAACACCGGGAGGGAGCAGGGATGGGTGGAAGCCAGGGAGCAATGGAGACATAGCCACAGATCGCAATGTGTGGAAAAGAGGAAAAAGTGTAAGTAAATTTGCTGTAGGACACCAGAGAGAGGGAAGAAAGAGAGGAAATGACAGATGAAAGGAAGGGAAGTTAAGTGTGTGAGAGCAGAGAGACATTGTGGGAGGGCGCAGGGAAGAGGAGCTTGAATCCTGGGAGTTTCTCTCATGGGAGGAGATGTGTATGCTGAGGTGAGATTGGTGCATCAGTTTATTAATTTATGTCCTTTGATTAAAAATCATGTGACAGCTGGTGTCATCCACCTCTGACGTGTTCTTTCTGATTATTTTTGTAATGCTGGAATTGATTGATATTATTCGATACTGAGGTGGAGAGAAGTTGCCGCTTTTATTGTGGTAATCTACAGGTAACATGACATCATATCTGTTACAAGAAGAGCAAGAAAGCAGAAAATGGCGGACGATCCAAGGACACAGACTTCAGCTGCTCTACTCAAAATCAGCCAGCCGAGCACAAACTTCCCGCTGGATCAGCAAACTTTTTCGTTGCTCCCATTTCAATGTTTTTAACCCCCACTGAACTTCTTCTTGGCAATGTCACTGTGTTCCCTGATGACAGCTAATAACTCAGTGAGTATGATGTTATAAATGATATAAGTGATGGCCAAAATGATGAAGATAGACCCAAATTACATGCTAGAATATCTCTGAATTCAAGTGTTGAGTTCACCCACTTCCCGGCGTCCTAAAAACTCGAGGGTCCGCTCTATCGATGCAGAAGGACCAAAAATAGGGGGTAAAGCTCTGTTCCATCCCTCTACAACCTTCCTATCAAAAGTTATTCGCGAACATACCTTCCTGTTTTGGACCTGACTCCTCGAGTGTTGAGTTCATCCACTTCCCGACACCCTAGAAGGTCGGGGGTGGGCTCTATCGACGCGGAAGTCCAGATGCTGCTGACCTTGATAAGAACACGACTTTAAGAAAATATATTTTTTGTCATTACAATAAATAAAACTTACTAATTACAAAAGTATTAGTATCAGCAAATCCCTTCACTTGTTAGAAACTTGTTCAAAAGAAGCTGAAATCAACTTCCACTGGTAGCATCAAAAGTTTTTTTAGCTCCATCATTATTAGCAGTTTATTTGAGAGAAGACATAAGAAAGGCATTCAAAGTAGTGATTTTGCAATGTTTGAGAAAAAATGTTTACTTTCTGTTTGTCTGGGGCTGCAGCTAATTTTCCGCTATCAATTATTATGTTGTTTAGTTATGACAAAGGTTATGACAAAGACCCAAAGGTGACAGAGTGGTTCAATAGAGAGGCTGATTTTCCATTTAGGCATCTACCAAGTATCTTCCAGAGCTTTAGTTTGGTCAGAAACAGCAGCCAGACCATGATGGGACATCCTAACTATCCAGGAACAAGTCAGACTAATGACATTTTTCCAATCCCTCACTCAAACGGATGTATTAGCTTGACCTTATTTCCATCGATGTGTTTTTGAGTGAACACTGACCAGAGCTGCTCTGAGTCTGAAATGACAGCAAACAGCCAGGAGGAGAAGAGGCGGAGGAAAAAAGAGGGAAAGAAAAGGCCATCAGAGCAGGAGTTAGTGCGATGGACAGATTCACAGAGACAGAGGGGAAAATGAGCAGCAGTTGGGGAATTGTTTGGGTGGAGCGAGGGGAAAGCTGCAGTGTGATGGTTGATGGCGGGGATGGAGCATCTGATGATCATTTGTTTGTTTTCTGATGGTTTACATGGAATAGCCCATCTGCTCCACATGAGTGAGTCTCCACATGTAGCAAGGACACCGCACACACACTCACTGTGGAGGAGGTGACACGAACACACTGAGGAGGGGGACGGGCCTGACAGAAATCTGGTATGTATACAGGTTAAACCCCAGAAAAGACAAGACAGGGCCAACTTGCTTTGACCTTATTACTGGAACATTGTGGGTTTTTTATGTGACCAAGATATTTACTGACCAGGACGTTTTAGGGTGAAAAAATCAACCTGTGAGTGCTCTCTGGTGAGCAGCCAATGTAATGACATGTAGGAACAGGCGTTTCCAGGCGCCTCTCCATCAGCTCTGTGAAATTTGTGCTAAATCTAGAGTTGGTGGGACTTTCTGAGATTGGTATTGGACGATGGTGGTGTATGGTTGCAAGCGACTCATCCGGCTGAGGAAATCAACTCACTAGTCTTAAAACTTTCCTTATGCCAACTTCTGATAGCGGGTTGTGTTTTAAACATCAGTAACCATTGAGGAAAAGATGGAGAAGATGGGAACCAGCTCAACTAGCATTCTGCTAACAATTGCACAGGTGTTAGATAATAAACTGGACGACGTGCCAAATCTGTTTTGGGAACGAAAATATCCTTTGTCAAGGAAATTCGGCTAAACCCTAGAATACCAGACAGCGTCATCCAACCAGGTATCTTTTTTTCCACATGCTGATCGAACAGGACAGACGACTCTGGCAAGAGAAGGGTGGGAGGCGTGCGCTTTATCGTGAATAAGGACTGGTGTGACAGTGGGACATTCCTGCTCTAGATCACTGATATGCCATACAGAGGTGGAGTTGCTGGGGTTTTTTTTGGACACTTCCGCTATCTCACTGGAAGTCGCGCCCCTGATCAGTAGTGCTACAGTTTTATTTTTTCTAGTAGCATATATGTTTCTGAGTCCACTGCGTTCCCTCTTTTTTCCATTATGTAACAGGGCTAGAGTTTCAGCATGTAAACAAACAACAAACAGCTATATAAAAAGTGCTCTTGACAGCATCAATAAGGTTTGTGCCACGGCCTGGGCCTGCAGAAGCATTGTGATATGTTAGGAGTGTACACAGTATGATACACAGGCCTCAGGAGAGGAGGAAACAAAGCCTTTGTGCAACTGTAATTGACTGTTGCATAGCCTTTTATTTTCAGATCATAAATGCATCTGCAAAGAGACACTGACAAAGAGTACACTGAGTCTCCAAACAAACTCCTTGGACATTTAGGCCATTTATTCAGGATAAACAACTGTACTGAAAGAAAGAAGTCAGGAGCGTGAGGCAGAGAGACAGACGGGAGAACTGATCAGAGTGGGCAGAGAGAAACATGTTCTCTTTGTGTATTTTAGCCAATATTATTGGTACTCCCTAATGTTGACGTTGTAGCTTCTCTATTGGAAAATCAGAATAAACCCTGCGTTAAGGCCTTGCAATTTTAAAGCAAGCTGTATAAGCAGATAAATAATAGATAGAATTGACAGACAAAGCAATGGACTCTAGGAAAATAAAGCATTATATAACCAAAGTATATCAAAACCCAGACAAAGGGAATATTAAAGCTGGACAGAGATAAGGAAATCCGTCTATAGCATCTAACAAGTCAATCTTAAATTCTGATTTTTTAACTTTTTAACTTTTAACAGTGGAACCGAGGGAGCGTACACATGTCTACCCTGCAGCTTTCTGAAGAACACAGCAAAAGAAAAAGACAAGCTATAAGATTTCTGTTAAAGTTGGTCACAGGGGTGTTATGTAATCTATCCATTTATGCAAAAGATGCTGTAATTTGTCATTCTGTGCCTCATTCTGTGTCAGGGTAGAGAAGCTTCTGCAGCAGCATCAGACCAAGAACTCTACACTGGAAGCCAGATGAAGGAAATTCATTTATGTGGTCTCCTACACATGATTAAAAGCGTTTGAACTGTACACCTCGCTGCTGGATCGTGACACTCAAACACTCAGATCTTTGAGCTTTTCATCTGCTTGCATTAATTTTACTAGTCTACCAAAATGCCATAATGTGACCTTTTAAAAACTGTGGTGGTTACTGTTAATGTGCAAAGGTCAATTTTCCAATTAATAACCTAAATATGGAGGAAGTTCTGGAAAAAAAAAGGAGCGATCATATTAGAATATGATAAAATGTACTTATAAAAACAGGGTAAATCTGAAATGACTGCCCATTTCTAATAAAAGCTTGGGGTAAGAGTTGCTATGTACCAGGCAAGGCTTGCTACCCTTTGCTGTCAACGATACTTCACTGACCCTGTCTCACTCCAATGTCGTCGAACACCACCACTTGTCCAGTGACTTCCGGCGTCAGACACCAACGAAAAAAGTCATCCTTTCACGTCGGCATGGTAAACAGCTAGTTGCCATTATTGTTAAACTGGGAAACACGGAGGGACAACAACATAAGTTAAGGGGGCAGAAGTCCGAGTAGGGTCTGAAGGAAGGGTGGTGGATGGGTCCAACAACCACGGACTTTCACCCAGGAGGCCAGTGTTCACTTCCCGTGTGATTATAAAGCCAAACCCTGTTCTTTTTTCTTAAACACAACCACATACTTTAGTTGTTGAGTGCAAAAAAAAACGTCAATTTGTGGTGTTCTACCGATGTATTTGGAAGAGGCTATATGCAAACTGTGTATACTGAAAACAGACACAGCGTCCCAGAATGTCAACAACCAACACACCCAGGGGACCTTGCGTGTCTTATCTCAGCGTGGAAAGTCCATGACCAAACGTCGATATCTGACCAGGTTGGAGTGAGAATGGCTGAACACTGAATGCATTTGGCCAGAACACTCATACCTTAAACAAGTTGCCATTGTAATTTTGAATTTACAGATCTTCCGATTAGTGGACGACCCACTCGCCCCGAAGTAAGTGTAATAGTTTTTTCTTCTACATGAACTTTTTGGCACTCCTTCAAAGAAAAAAAAGGGCAGTTGCCAGAATTTTAGGAGTTCATGGGTTCAAGTTACCCTATCACACTAGTAGTGACCAGGGGGCCATGCCCACTCTGCACTGCAGTCTGCTCAGTTGTATCTTGGAGAATTACAACCTAAGGCATACACTGGGAAAGGGAAAAGGGCCAGATAACACTATGTTAATTATGTTGAATTTTGGCGTGGAAAAAACTTGCATGACTAAGCTTATTTCATATTGCCAGGAATAACAGTTTGGTACAGAAATACTGAATCATTTATTATCTGTTGGCCTAAAAGGAGTCACATTAAAACAACCTGATCCTAAAAGCCAGAAGCAGCCTGTAAAATACCAACCATTAGTTTTAAACTGCAGACTGTAAAGTCTCCACATTTGAATTTGATTACTAAAACCCTAAAATTCCAAGAAAATAACGATGAAATGATCTCTGGAGAGCAAACCAGTTTTGAGCTCAGCGGGAAGGTGAGCCAGGTTTTAGCCCCTGAAGCTGTTAAAGAAAAAGAAGCTGGTGGGGAAAAGTGACCGACTAATATGACACCCTTTGCTGAAAATCCAATATGTACTCAATATGTTGGCAAACTTCAACATCAGTCTGAGCCCAGCCCCGGGAGCTCATTCAGCATGAGAGCGCTTGAATACAGCGGCGCCCTCCAGCCCCAACCAGCCCGCTGAACTGACTGTGGAGACAGCTGGAGCGGCCCTCCGCTTTCACAGCACATCAATCCCCCTGAGGTTGTTACTGCGAGGCAGTTAGCACCGCGGCTGCTGGACACTGTCACGAGCAAACAATCTATTGTGTGGCCACCCGAGAGCGAGGAAGGGAGATAAAGGGAGACAGAGAACAGCAGAGAGAGAGCGAGATCATTAAATATGATCTGGGGTTAAGTGAGAGGCACATTAGGGCCGTGCTTAAATCACAGACAACGAGCTGCAGTCGACACAACAGCACTACGGACGCACATTCCACTGATTGACATCCGATTTGATGGGGAAGGAGGAGGTGCCGAGATCTGTGTGTGTGTGTGTGTGTGTGTGTGAGACAGAGAGTGTGTGTTTGCACAATATGTCGGGGGGGATGGAGGTGGCTGATATTAAAGCAACTTATCTTGCTCTTCCCTCTGGGTGGAGAGGGAAAGCAAAGAAAAAGAGGGAGCTCAGGAGGAAGGAGGGTGAGATAATTCGCAGTTGGATTTTTTTTTTTCCACCCCCCCTCTGCAATCTCAGTCAATTACACAAGTCCCATAATTCAATAGAGCGAAACAAGGAAGTTGCCGGGGAATTCTAATTTCATTTATGAACATTTATCCAAACAAATTAGACAACTTGCGACATTAGAAAAGAAGCTGGCAGTATAGAAATGAGCCCTGCGCAGTACATCAGCAGGCCCGTGTGTACAGATGCAGAAAGGGAAATGGCTGTAAAAGCGACCAGCACCTGTGACGAATAGCGACGGCGGACAAACTGTAATGTGGCTAATATCTCTAAGGCTGGGCCGTGTGCTCTACAGCAGCAGCAGCCTCCGCCGCCGCTGCCTGGAGCCGCCGGGGCCCCCGCCGCGCGCTAATGTTTTATTTTGTCTTTGAAACTGCCAGGCTCGTTTTTCATCACCATCACTGTCAATGAAGCGTTATTCATTGTCGAGCTAAGCCCTCTCACTCGCACAGCTATCTCCGCTAACCCAGCAATGAACTCCTAAATCACTGCAGACTAGGATTTGAATATTTCACCACATAATTGGAGCTTTAACCTAATCTAGGGGCGCGGGAGCTCCTCTTCTGTTTCCGACGAGGAGGACTCAAAAGGCGCATCAGGATCCAATCGCTTGTAATAATGAGGAACTTCTCACAGTCTGTGAGCAAGCATAATTACCACTGATCCAGATTAAGGCTTTATCTGAGGCTCGACTGCCACTCCAACAAACAGCAAACACTGGCTTATATCATAACCAGGGAGCAAGATTTTTGCTATTATGTCCCACCATTTTCAGCTGTGGATTTTGCCTCAATGCAGACTGTTTATTTTGTAAAAATCAGGAAGTGTCTCGCGGGAGAGGGAATGGGATGAGGGTGGAGTAGAGAGGGGTTACAGCGATTAGGAGCTTTGTGTTGGGATTGAAAGGGGGAAAATTCAGAGTTATGGAGATGGAAGCTTACTGTACTTTGGAACGACAGCAGCATGCAGCTACACACAGTGGAGAGCTAATAGCTCCACTGTATGCCAGTTTGCTCCATTTCAGCTTCTCTTACCCATCACAGCTCCAAACTTTATTGTCAGTGACTGAATGATTTTCATTACCGCAACAAGAGAGGCATTACTGCACATTATGGCTGCTCAGCGGATTTGTTTGTCTTTGTATAAACAGTATTTTACATGACTGACAGGTGTCATGAGATTTCCAAAACTAGTGCCATCAAATCATTAAACGCACACCTCCCACCTCCTGCTCTCACACACTCCCTACAGAAGCCTGTTTGTAGAGCGTTGGTGTCAATCACAGCTCACTGGCGCTGACTGTAATCTATATGTAAGTTAGCTTAAAAACAAACACATTAGACGCTGTCAGCTCCCTGCACAATGCTGCCATGCCTGCGTGTCAATCAAAGCGCCGCGATCTCTGCTTGCTATCAAGCTATCAGCCGTCCTGCAGCTCCAACCGCTTGCCTGTCAAAGCGTCACACAACTCAGCCCAACAAGGGTTTTGCGCCGTCGAGTACTCGCTCTGGAGGTTCTCTCGACATTTGCGTGACCTCCAACTTTTACACCGAGTCGTGACGAGTGCAGAAGTGCTCCTCAGGGGGTAGAGGAGCTCGTTGTCACTCAGATGAGGGGAGTGCGCAGTCCTTTGCAGGGTCAGCCGCTTTGAGACTGGATAAGCAAGGGCCTGATGTGTCCAACTGACGAGATTCTTCTTCAAGGTCCTGCGTGGATTAGCATCCCCTCACTATCTGGCCTTTCATGGGTTGTTAGTTTAGCACAGGGCCCGGTGTCTGAGGGTTTGAGGGAGGTTCAGGGACAGCACAGAACTCTCAACCTTGATGTCGGGAGATGACAGGGATAATAAAGCCTGCACAAACCCTGACAAGTATTCTTGACACCCAGCTTAGCTCAGTCGCACATATCCATCGCCTGTTTTGATTTACGGAAGCAGATAATGATTCGTTGGATTAGCTGCATTTATTCCACCTTTCAGACATGTAGAGTCGAGTTGGTGTCTGTCTGCCTCAACCAGACGGATGGGCAGCTGTCTGGCTGGCAAGTATTTCCCTGACGAGGATTTGATGTTGGCAGCTGCAACGTCTTCCAGTCCTGACACCTCCTTTTTAATTTCTCTTCTCGCTGTCGCAATATATAAAAACTGGGGTAAACAAACCCTGCCTCCATCTCTGGTCCGTCTCATGAGACGCAGCTGGAAGTCATGATGTGTTAGCTGCACGGTGCTGCTATGATGCATGCTTTTTATTGTCTTTCCATCACACTTAATGTCCAATCAATAGCTATTGAGAGAAGAAGAAGCACTAATGCTGGTGAGGATTCGCCCGGACAGTCAGCAGTGTACTCTCCAGCTGCATTACAGGGGGATTTAGAGTACAGTACAAGAGATTGATTATCATTATGAGCTCTGCACTTGCGGCTAGTTTGCAAGAGCAGATCAAAGGAGCATCAGTAAAACAGGGTCACGGAGTCAAAGACACATTGTAGCTCTGATATGTTTATGATTCAGAAAAGAAGTGCAACCAAAGTTAAACACGCTCATTGATCTGCTGTTCAGATGTATACTTGCAGAAAGCACCACAGGACAGTGAACTCACCGTGGTGTATTTGCCAAGCTGGCAGAGGGAGGGGAAGGTTTCTTGATGGGCCTTGCGAATCTTTTCAATGATGGTCTCCAGCTCGGCTGTCAGCTCGTAGCTCTCTGCCAGCTCCGGCTTTGGGCTCTCCTTCTTCTTCTTATTCCGGTCGTTTCGAACAGCTGAAGGAGAACAAAGGATTAGGATTAGCGTCAACAATGACTTGCAAATGGATGACTTGATCATCGAAGTAAATGTGGACTTGAAACAAAATGAAAGGCAACTTGAGGAACAACAGAACTTTGTTGCTAGTAAGCATTTTTTGGGTTACTTTAAAGAAATGCAGCAAGTTGTCAAGTGAAAAAAAAGTGAGACCTTATATAAGGACAGAAAGTTTCTACTCTGTCAGCTCAACCAGACTCTGTCAGCTTAGTGCCACTGGCAAAGTCTGACAAAGAAAGAAAACAAAAGTGTCTGAAAACTCAAGTGCTTCACATATGGATGGTGTGATCTGTGCGGCTAATTTGATTAATGAATGATTAATTGCCTTCATCTTTTTACTCAGGGCTGTTTTGGTGCTTTGTTATGTGGTTTACCTGCAGTGAGTTGAGGCCTACGTGTAAACTAGAGGGTCCCAGAGGGACAAAACGCTGAGGCAGTGGTGTAGTCTATGTGATCCGCAGGTATACCCACTAAGAAGACATCCAAAAAATGTGCAAGGATATGTAACAACATAGTTTTGTGACAGAACTTTCACTCCAGCTATTTATTTTCACAAATAGGCTACGGGGTCGAGAGATGTGACAGGAAGCTGAACAAATGCTGCAGAACATGCAGAGAGAGACTCGTTGCCATTCCTCGCCCCCACCCTGCTGAGCTCAGTGCGCAGTGTGTGCATAGTGAGAACGTGAGAGAGACACAGAGAGTGATGGTGTATGCGCTGAGAACAGACAGGTGTTGGTGATCAAAGCAGAGAGGAATTAACTGTAAAGTTGTCGAGTGGTAGTAAAGGTACAGTGAAGGTTTCAGTTTGTCCATGAATAAACACTGCAGCTCCTTGAGACCAAGGTAAAGTTCCTGTGTCTCACTTCTTAACTGCTGGGTAACGTGAAGGGAGTTAGCATCAACCTTGACCCTAGAGGCAAAACAACCAGTGGTGACCCTGGAAATTTTTCATAGGGGCGGCCAGATAGGGCCACTGGAAATTAGGGTGGCACACATTTTTACACAGACTCAAACAACTGCAGCAACGTACCGCTCTAGTGTGTAATTATGGACAGCATCCTGGCATCGCAGATTCAAAAGAGGCATGAGGGTCATGACATTTAACACAACAGCACTGGCCTCTATTGTGACATATAACATATGCGTCGGCAACGCTCTATAAACAGTAATGGCATAAACATGGAAACAACAATCATTGTTTTCCCAATGTATGTGTCTGCACTTTGTCAGCCGCTGTTCATCTCTGAGTTAGCCACTAACTGCTAACAGTTACAAGCTACTTTTCACATTTCCTGTGAAGAGTCACACACGACACGTCATCAAAACGTCACAGCTGTGCCCATGATCACGTCCTGCTGGCTGTCCAGTTTATACAGACTGTTACTACCTCCGTCCCTGGTTCAGAGACAAGACAACTCTGTCCCTCCATTCTGCGACTGTAGCTACCTTTTATACAGAACAATGCAGCGGCATAAAGGCATGAAATTCTCACCTTGAAGAGGCAGTGTAAAAGGGGCTTTTGGTCTTTTGCCGTTTCTTTAATTTGTCCAACGATTTCGGCGTTGACCTTTACTGACAGAAGTTCCCATATCTAGTTATCTCTCCAGTTAGACATTTTCGTTACTGTCTTTGTGTAAATGACACTTCCTCTTCACTCTAATATGTTTGTTTTCTTCCAGTTTCGAACAACCCTCGTGATAGAAGCATCATAAACACGCCAGCTTGCTTGCTGTGAATTCTCCAGACGATCACCTGCTCTATTCACACATGGGCTCAATCGGACATTACACAGACCTTGAACTAAAGTCCGTTTCACGTCCGATCCAACTGATTCGGACATTTGCATTCTCACATACAGCTCCTCCGGGTAATGTCTACATAGTTTCAGATTGCAGTGTATGTGTGAAAGGAACTCATGAGAGTTCAGAACTTGCACACTGATATACTTTGGTTTCTTATTCTATAGCCAATGATACTAATGATCTGATGTTCATTGACTGATACAGTTAACATTTTGAGTTATATATCCATACATGTCACGTGATTCATTGTTTTTTTTTAAATAGGCTGCTTGTTCTTTTTCTTAAAAAGGCAAATACACAGCTTTTATTTAAAGGACAAGTGATTCTAAGTCAATAAACATTCATGGGAACAAGCCAAGTTTGAAAACACCACACAGAGGCCAATTTTGAGGTACTTTTAAATAAAATACACACACTTACAAATAAAAATATGCTTTTTATCTCCATGTCTTAAAAGGGAGGGTGAGTAGTTTTGTGCACAGTCTATGTGGCTGTAAGAAAATGCATGAATAAGCTAACAAAGGAAGGGAAACAGAAGACTGCTAGCAAGCACACATGGATTTAAACAATGCATGTTTGAAATTCTCTTGAAAACTGTCTTTGCAAATGTTTTATGACGAAGGAAATGCACTCAGCGTGTTTAATAAGCATCAAGAACACAAAATGCGCTGTGGTGATAATGCCATTGTTGAACAGTAACGAGCATCAACTGTTATTTTTTAACCTAGATTTTCTCTCCAACGGATTATGGCCGGTGGACGTTGAGAGGACACTGTGCCTTGCACTGAATAATACGCTACATGTATAAAAAGGCTTTAAAAAAACAACCAAATAAATCCTTAGGAGAGAGTCATACAGTACCAAACAGTCAGGAGCTACAACAAAGCCCAGGTTGCTGTGCTTGTTGTGTGTGTAAAGTGCACCCTGAGAGAGCGGAGTCCGCGGAGTGCTTTGCTTCATTAGGTGCAGATCTTTGAAGTCTGTCACAGCAGGAGATTCAAACAATCCAACCAGATTTATTACTCAACACACAGCATGATCATCCCAACATCACAACTCTCTGATCAGCTGCACACTCCCCTTTAGAATAATAAGGAGAGGAGCTGGAGCTGGAGAGAAAGAGCCGGGCCCATTGTCAGAGCTGAGACACCCGAGGGACCTTCCTTGGCTGGTAACACAACATCCTCTGCCCTAGTTTACAATAAAGCCCTTTATATTCACGCACTAGAGCCAGCTCGTGATCCCATATTGCACTAAGATGGTAGAGTGGGACGAGGCCAGCCCTGTGAGGGTTGGGGTTTATTGCTGGTGCAGATTTACAGTAGTCAGGACTCCAAATACTTATTTCTGTTTACATGCTGTAGATATTCCTTTTAAAGTGACATGCACCAAAATGATTTTGACTGCACCATATATTTGTCCATCTTTATCTGCACTGCCAGGTCCGGGTCTAACCAAAATTACAGTAATGTACAGTGAAACTACTTTAAATTTTATATGGTCACAGGAACATTTTAAGAACTTTTTAGCGAATCTAATATGGAAACATTGTTTTTTAAATCACATCAGGACTCTTCACCTCTCTTCCTCTGTTTCATATACAGTACAGGCCAAAAGTTTGGACACACCTTCTCATTCAATGCGTTTTCTTTATTTTCATGACTATTTACATTGTAGATTCTCACTGAAGGCATCAAAACTATGAATGAACACATGTGGAGTTATGTACTTAACAAAAAAAGGTGAAATAACTGAAAACATGTTTTATATTCTAGTTTCTTCAAAATAGCCACCCTTTGCTCTGATTACTGCTTTGCACACTCTTGGCATTCTCTCCATGAGCTTCAAGAGGTAGTCACCTGAAATGGTTT